ATTATTATTATTATTATTATTATTATAGGAAATACCTTGAAAAATTCCTTGCTCTGTTAAACATCATTTGGGAAATATTTGGAAAAAAAAATCAATTGTAAAAAAACGTGTATCTGAGATCTGCTGTTCTGGGATAATCAAGCAAATGGACTCTTCATGTCAAGTGTTGTTGGTTCTCGAAAGTGAAGTCTTCATGCAAACACACTCCAGGCTCATTTTCAGATTGCACAGCAATAACTCTGAGAGCTTCACTGACGTAGAAAGCCTGCAAACACTCTTGGGTTTTTCCTTTGCAGACATAATAAGTGCATAAAAATAACTGCACACCTTAATGTTGAGAATCGAGCCAATCAGAATTGAGCATTCTCCAATTTATTATTAGAAAGATGCTCATGGAAAGGATGAATGCTATAGGCAGAAAAAACATTAGATCTTATGAGAAACTTTGGTCAAGTTTTATTGCTCATTTAGCATTAGAGGAGTAATTAATTAATTAATTAATTAATATTATTATTATTAATAATTGAAATTGTTATTATTTAGTTATTGATTTATTTATTGTTTATTTTAAATTATTTTATGAATAAATATAGCTTGTCAAATTCTAGATATACTAGATATTTTAAAAAAAGTAAAATTTCATCTTTAACTAAAGTAAATAATAATAATAACTGTTATTAGTATTATTATTATTATATTTATGTATTTATTTATGTATTTATTTTTTTATTAATTTGTAAATATAGTTTTTAGTTATTTAAAAAAATAATTTACAATTATTTAATTTGTTAATGAGTTTGTGAAATGCAAAAACAGTACTATGTAATTTGTTAAAAATACTAATATAATATATATATACAAAATTCACTTTTCATGAGCTTTTTGTGTAGGGTCTCTTTAATTGTCTTTTATTTTTTTTGTCTTTTTCTTTTGTATCCCCCCCAAAAAAACGTGAAGCCAACTACCTCGGAGTAAACCCACAGTAAATAAATAAACAAAAATTCACACTAACTAAAGACCCAAATGAAACTAACTACACCTAATAAAATAACAGAAATAACAATACAAAATCTACAACTACCTCCCTTATACTAAGAAAAAAAACAGGTGAAAATATTAAAAGTGTGGCGTCCAACCCCTACAGCCTCTTAACGTGTATATATTTACAATATTAACAATCACACAAATCAAAAACAAAATCATAGAAAGGGGAAACACAGATGGATATACACAGTCAAATCTTATACAACAGCACGAAAAACACAATCAACGGAAACAACTTAGTAGCAGGAATAACTTTCACATCAACTCAAACCACATAACTCGCTCCCAAGCCCGACTATGACACGATTTTAAGCTTGATTGCAAGTCGTGGTCTGATATATCGAGGATATAATTAGATTATTATTAAGCATGTAAAAGTATTTAATGTTAATATAATCTGTTGAGAAGCCATTTTTTTCTTACCTCAAATTGCCCGCCATTTCTATCAGCCCCAGCGCACGCACGCGCTGATAATCGGTGTTGTGATTGGACGAGCAAACCGTAGACCTGTTCAATGGCCAGTTGTAGTCTGAATAGGAGCTTAACAGTCAGTAAAACTGCCTCACCTTTATATCACAGGTACACTGAAGAAAAATATTTAAAGATGATTCCTTGGATTTTGTCAATTTTTTTACATTAAGTGGTTGTAAACAATTTATTTGGGCTGACTTTAAACAAACAAATTAAGTTGAACATTATTAAACTTGATTTGTTTGTGTAAATTCAACACAAATAAATTGTTTGCAACAGTTCTGCATGCAACACTTTTTTCAGTGTAAATTATGTCACTTAAAAGATCAGTTCACCCCAAATGAGGGGTGATTATTGATTCAACCTCGTGTAATAACCAGAAATGTTAGTTATGATTAGGCCCACACGGAAGAATACTGCAGATGTTGTTCTCTTTTTAAAGCATGCCCTGGGTAACCTGCTCCCATCCCAGGGCACGTCGCCTGCGTAGCTAGGGCGGGCCTGCAGGTGAAAAGAGAGGGAGAGAGAGAGACAAACACACACACACACACACACACACACACACCTGTGAACGCAACTATATATATATATATATATATATATATATATATATATATATATATATATATATCTATAGCGAAGATAAAAGAAATTAAGAATGAAAATTGAACAGGAGGGCTAATAATTCTCACTTTATTATATATATAATAAAGTGAGAATTATTAGCCCTCCTGTTCTATTATGACAGCACATAATATTTGACAAGAAATTCTTTAAGATACTAGTATTCAGTTTAAAGTGACATTTAAAGGCTTACCTAGGTCAATTAGGGTAAAATTGGGGTAAATAGGCAAGTCATTGTATAACAGTGGTTTGTTCTGGAGACAATCCAAAATTAATATTGCTTAAGGGGGCTAATAATATTGACCTTAAAATGGATTTAAAAAAATTAAGAACTGCTTTTATTCTAGCCAAAATAAAACAAATAAGACTTTCTCCAGAAGAAAAAATATTATAGGAAATACTGTGAAAAACTCCTGAATCTGTTCAACATCATTTGGGAAATATTTAAAAAAGAAAAGAAAATCCACTCGAGGACGAATCATTCTGACTTCAACTGTGTCAAACAGATTTAGTGAACAGAGAACAGGTTTAGTGTGATCATGGTAAAACAGAAGAGATGTAAGGATCAAGTCTGTAAGTTTAGTGTAAATCTCTCTCTGTCTTTCAGGATTTTTCCACCTGGACACTTCAAGGAGAAATACGCTGTAGACGAGGTGCATTTCACCACTGACGTGAGTACAGTTTCACTGCTTTTATTAACATGATAATAAATCTGTCTCCTGTTTGTTCTCTTATATAATTCAGATCATTATTTATCTCTGTATAATGAAGTGGCCTTGAGCTGATTTCTTACTGAGCTGTTGTGTTTTAGTTTTATTTTTGATGGTTTTCTTTCTTTAAAAAGAGAGTTTTGCTATTTTAATTATTAGTTTTTGTTTGCTTATAATATATTTTTTGCTCATTTAATGCAATTAAAGATTATATATTTATTAAATAGAGATATTGACTAGGGGCGAGGCAGAGGCGCAGTAGGTAGTTCTGATGCCTCACAGCAAGAAGGTCGCTGGTTCGATCCTCGGCTCAGTTGGCATTTCTGTGTGGAGTTTGCATGTTCTCCCTGCCTTCGCGTGGGTTTCCTCCGGGTGCTCCGGTTTCCCCCACAGTCCAAAGACATGCGGTACAGGTGAATTGGGTAGGCTAAATTGTCCGTAGTTCATGAGTGTGTGTGTGAATGTGTGTGGATGTTTCCCAGAGATGGGTTGCGGCTGGAAGGGCATCCACTGCGTGAAAACTTGCTGGATAAGTTGGCGGTTCATTCCGCTGTGGCGACCCCGGATTAATAAAGGGACTAAGCCGACAAGAAAATGAATGATATTGACTAGATCAGAGATGCCCAAAGTAGGGCCTGCAGGTCAAAGTATAACCTTTGATTTGGCCCGTCATCCCATCTGAAAAGAGAGGGTGAACATTGCGTACTCCGGTTTCCCCCACAGTCGAAACACATGTGCTATAGAGGAATTGATGAACTAAATTGGTCGTAGTACATATGTGTGATTGCAAGAGTGTATGGGTGTTTCCCAGTGTTGTGTTGCAGCTGGAAAGGCATCCGCTGGGTAAAACAAAACTGGATAAGTTTTTTATTTTTTTCCGCTGTGGCAACCCCTGATTAATCAAGGGACTAAGCTGAAAAGAAAATTAATGTAAAATATAATATAATGTAATATAATATAATATAATGTAATATAATATAATATAATATAATATAATATATAAAACATGTTGTTTATAAAACACATTTTTGTGTATGTTTGTCAAAAATAAAAAAGGTTTAAAAAA